CCGGTTTTTGCAGCACCGAGAATGTCTTTGCCTTTCAGTGCGAGAGGGATGGCTTTTCGCTGGATGTCGGTGGGGACTTTGAAGTGCGACTTGTCGAGACCACTCGCTGTCTGTCTGGACAGAGGAAGATCGGTGAAGTTGGTAAGGCTTGATGCATCCTAGATATTCTCCGTACTTGTTAGAGCTATCCAATAGTCGTACCGTAGCGAAAGAGTGTGTTAAGTCACATACGAACTCTTGCGCCGCCTTTTCGAGGTTTTCGAGTTCTTCCTCCTCACGCTTTCGCTTTAGAGATTTCGATTCCTTGCGACGAGGCTTTAGCTGTGGCAATGAGCCGGCTAGTTTGGCGCCTTTGGCCATTGTAACGGTAATCGATGGTATTCCGTCAGTAGTGGTGACTGCAGCTGTCGTTCTTTCGGACGGTGGGACTGTGATGTATTCAAGATTCGAGGCCGTCGCGAAAAATTTCAGCAGGGATCTTTTTGGTTGTGCAGATGAGCTGCGGCCGCCAAGCGGAAACGAACCGGGCGCCAGCATCCATTTCCACTTCCCAGCCGACGCCTTATCCTTCGCCTCATGATCTCGCGCCCACACAGCTTTAAAATCTATCCTGCACACCATCGTCAAACGCAGAGATGTCGGCCGCCACGGAGAAGAAGAAGGAGGAACCGACCAAGGTGGAGGAGCCTGAGGGAGAGGTTGAGATTGACAAGGAATCTCTGAGTGCGATCGAGAGGGAGGAGCTGGAGTTCCGAAAGGTAGCTTATCTGTGATGTTCGAGTTCTGGATTGAAGTCACTGGGAGCTGATGGCTAATGGTATACTACTGTCTACAGGATGCAGAGATCCAAAGTACGTCTACGCGATTCTACCGTCTACTGCCCTAGTCCTTCCCGTCATCGATACTAACTATCCAATTCCAGGAATCTTGAATGCCTTCAAACTCGACGCGTAAGCTCTACGACTGGTTACCAGTGTTCACATACGAGTCGCCTGCTAATTGTTCTCCAGATATGCCGTCCTGGACCTCCAGCCGGGTGTTCCCGAGTCCGACATTAAGATGCAGTATCGAAAAAAGTCGCTATTAATCCATCCTGACAAGACCAAGAACCCACAGGCGCCAGATGCCTTTGACCGGCTCAAGAAGGCACAGAATGAACTGATGGAGGAAAAGACCCGGATAAGACTCGACGAAGCCATCGCTGATGCCAGAATGTTATTGATCAGAGAGCGAAAGTGGACGGTGGATCACCCGGATTTGCAGTCTGAGGCCTTCAAGAAAGACTGGAGGGAGAAGACAAAGGAGGTTCTGATTGATAACGAGCTGAGGAAACGGAAGCAGATGAAGGCGCAGCTAGCAGAGGAGGGTCGAGAACAGAGAAAGGCTGAAGCAGAGGTCGAGGCGAGGAAACGGAAGAGAGAGAACGAGCAGGCATGGGAGGACACCCGGGACCAGAGGATCAGCTCGTGGCGAGACTTCCAGAAAGGCAAGCAGCCCGCAAAAAAGAAGAAGATGAAGCCGATTGGATAGGATGCTTGATCTTGATCTTGGCCATGTGCGATGATGTTTTGAGATGATTGATGGTGGCTGGTGCTATTCTAGAGGTTGCTTTTTTGGCTGCAAAGGGCGTTCTGGGGTTTGAACGGGTGCATTGCATTGGTGCGATGTCGATTCGATTCTCTAAAGTGAAAATTAAGATATATAACTACTCCTTCTCCTGAAATTATACAATCTCCTCCTGTGCAAATATTATTATCGTGAAAGGACAGGACCGGGAGGCCTGTAATCTCGTTAGTAGCTAATTAGCGTCGCGCGACTTCCTCGAATCCATTCATGTTTGTCGCGCCACGACCAGAGACCCTTTTCTTACGTACCAGATCGCAGCTCGGAATCTCGAAGTCGAGTTTTCACGATACCGAATGCCCTCGCCGAAGTCATGCTCTCGAAGTCATGATACCGTTCCGATTCCATAATATCACATCGATATCTCCATAATGTCTACATCCCGTCTTCTCTCCCACAACAACCGCTCGAGCGAGGAACTGGCACCCGATGAGCTTCCCCACGGCGAAGCACCCCCAGCCGACAACATCGAACTTCAGATATTCCGTCGAAACACTCTGGGAACAGAACCTTTAGACCATGTTCTCGTCACCGATGATGAATCCGATGACTCCGATCTGGACGAAACGTATCTGCTGTATACCACGGAAGAGACGAACCGTGTTGTCAAGAGATTCGATCGTTATCTCGTGCCGTTCCTGGCGTTGCTGTACATGTTGAGCTTTTTGGATAGGTCTAGTGAGTGGTTCCATAGTGAAATTTTGGGAAAGGGATTTTGTAGAATTGGGTTTATTGGCTAACAATTAAGCTCGCTCAAATAGACATCGGAAACGTGAGCCTGACGTTGTCGAGTATGTCCCAGGAACACGCGCATATTAACACGGTCCGCTATATATTAGGCACGCATAGCCGGAATGGAAGCGGATCTTGAAATGTCCCATGGGCAGTACGAATGGCTCCTCACAGCGTTCTATATTACTTACATCGTAAGCCAGTCCCAACTATACGAAATTCCATAGCATTCCATAGAGTTACTGCTAATTGTCCGGGCTATTGTTCTAGCTATTCGAGTGGATGGCGCTACTATGGAAAGTCTTTCCTGCGCATGCTTATGTAGCTTTTTGTGTCGCAGGGTAAGCTTTTCCCACGTATTCATCATTACCGTTTATAATAATCGGGATTGGCCGCTGATCGATGAACTATTTAAGCTAAAGTTGGGGGCTTGTAGCTTCACTTCGTAAGTCTATACCACTTCTCAATCATTTTAAACCATATCTAACAGAATTCTCGAAATACAGAGGGCATAGTCCCAAATTTCTCTTCCTTGTTGCTTGCCCGCGCTGCACTGGGTATTGCAGAGGCAGCTTTCGGCCCGGGTGTACCATTTTATCTTTCTTTCTTCTACAAGCGTGAGGAATTGGCCTTCCGAACCGGCCTTTTCATCTCTGCTGCGCCACTATCTACGGCCTACGCAGGTAGTTTGGCCTATCTCTTAACATCACTTAGTACCGGATTGGCGCCATGGCGAGCTCTGTTCATTATAGAAGGATGGCCGAGTCTTATTGCTGCTGTGGTGGCCTGGTGGTATATACCAGACGGACCCGGTGATGCCTGGTTTTTAAAAAACGAAGAAGAAAGACAGATCGCTGTTATTCGATTACAAGGCCATAGTAGACGGCAGAGACGAATGAGTTTCTTTAAAGCCGCCACATCGAAGAAGGTCAATAGTGGTAGGTTTGACTGGCGTGAAGTCATGATAGCTTTAGGGGAGCTGCAGAACTGGTTGACTGCTGTAAGTCTCGACATCCGGCCCAGCTATATAGCTATCCTAACGTAAACTAATACCCCTTTGATACCCACTAGCTCATGTTTTTCTCTTGCAATGTCGCCTTCTCCTCCCTCCCAGTTTTTCTCCCTACCATTATCAACGAAATGGGCAACACCGCTCTCGCTTCCCAGGCCCTCTCCGCCCCACCATATGTTGTGGCCTTCATTACCGTCATCCTCGTCTCATACTTCTCAGACCGTCTCCACTCTCGTAGCATCTTCGTCATCAACTGTGCCCTAGCCGGAGCATTCGGCTACGGTGTCTTAGCATTCGCCCCACAACTAGGACTATCGGATTGGAAATGGCGATACGCAGCAGTCTATTTCGCCGCATCGGGGATCTTTTCTGCGATAGCAATAATCATCCCCTGGACCATTGGAAACTCCGAGACAGCGGAAGGAAGAGGTACTGGTGTCGCTATCTTAAACCTAGTGGGGCAGTGCGGACCTTTGTTAGGAACGAGGTTGTATCCGGCAAGGGATGGGCCATATTATACACTGGGAATGACAATATGTGGAGGTTTTATGCTGGCAGTCGCCGGGTTGGCATTCTGGTTAAGGGTTATGCTGGCGAAAGAGAATAGGAAGAGGGATGAGGATTATTTGAGGAGAGCGAGGGGGCAAGCGGAAGCTGGGACTTATGTTTCGGGTGAGGGTAAGGGATTCAGGTTTATGCTGTAGATTATTAATTGTCCGTGTTTTGTTGTTTGGCATTGGGGTGGTTGTATTGCTGCGCTGGTTGACCGGGTCTTCTGGAGGGGTTTGATATCTTGCATCATCATCATCATCATCATCATCATCATCATCATCACCCTCATTCTCATCATAATATCGATATATCATTGATTAGCGATCAATGGCGTCTGTATTTTTAAACGGGCGAGCTGGTGATCTCATCATTTGTATTGTGTTTGAGTTTTCATTTCTCGATTTATTTTTCTTAATCAGTATCTGGTATGTAGTAATTTAGAAGATCGGTCTCGCGGCCTGATACTCATGGAGGCATTTTAAAATTTGTAACCAGTATTGTCCTGGCCTGTGCCTGTGTATGCGGGAACTAGTAGGTAAACACACCAAATGGATGCCGATACCAAAGATTTTAGAACGCCTTGACTAAGAATTTTGAGGACACGGATGCGTATATAGGGGGCAAAAATACAAATAAATACTATATCAACCAATGTATATAGAGGCCAAGAATATGAATCTGGCACTGAGAAAGATCGAAACGTCGCCCATGCACGTGACCTGGGCATACCTTTACAAATGGTTCGAAAACTGAAAATTTGATAGAGCGAGGAAACCTGTCAGATGTTTTCTCTAAACCGGATAGTTAGCTGGGTTGGAATCTCGAGCACTGATATGAAATACAGGCAAATTACATGGCTAAACTTTCAGAAGTAATATATCGATACCAACACCAGTACTGTGCAGTTCCTGACTATAGACGCTGAGACAGACCGCACTCTCGCTAGCACTTCCCCCTGTCACAAGGGAAAAAAAAAAAACTCAACCCTAGCGACCCTCCTTCCGATATCGTAAAGACTTCAGAACAAAAAAAAAAGAGAGACTTGACAATAATAAAAGCAAAAGAAGAAAGCTTAAAGCTTTGGAGACACAGGGAATTGAACCCGGGACCTCATCCAGACAGTAGGAATTTACCCACGCTAAGGAAGCGCTCTACCAACTGAGCTATATCCCCGTCTTGTTATCTCCGACCCAGAAATGGCTCTTATTAAGGTCTGAGGGAGAAGTACAATCAAAAAGACGGCAGCTAACTTAAGCAGAATGGAATTATTATTTATGTTACACCATATATGACGAGTAGATAGAGGGTATTAGTTATTAGATATCGTTCAGTAACAGCGAGAAGCGGTATACGTACGTTACTAGTATAACTCTACGCATGATTATAGATTTATCAATTTACATAAATATATGCGATTTCAGGGCTAGTACTTGAAAAAAATCATCCAAGAAGGATTAAGCGTAGGGATTCAATAGTAATAATTGTGCAAAATCTTCTCTCTGAAAACTTTCTATACCAAGTGTATCTGAAGACAGATGCAAACTCTTGCACTAGCTATGATCTAAAATATCTACGATAGTACATGGAAGCGGCAACCTGCAGGACAATGCTAATAAACGTTAGAAATAGTGCAGCTACATATAGATCTAAATACATACGACATTTGATAGGTGTATTCCGGATTCCAATACATATACATTAAAGATGAGTAGATTCGAGGAGGGAATTCATGCTCTTGAGATATTGGTTGCATCATACAAGCCCACCGCTAAATTACAAACGAATTACGGCCGCGGGTAATCCTCCAACATCCTGATCATGGTTTTGATGGGAGGGTGAACGCTCACTGGTACAAGACACTCACTGATCAGTCTACGCCATCTCTTGAGGGAACTTTCCCAGGCATTCTTAATGTTCATCGCCGGAAAGGATCCGAATGGATCGTTATCATACTCCCTGATGGCATCGCTAATCCAGGCCTTCATTTCTGTTACTAGCATTTGAAAGGCTTGTAAGGCTATGTCCACCTCCTTTTGGTTGCCTTGCAATGGGATGCTGTTGTAAATATATCCCCCACTCAACCGTTCGAGGATCGAAAATCCGTCTGTGTACTCGGACCCTGTCGAGTCTGTATCAAGAACATCAGGTTTACGCTCCTTCAGAAGGTATTTTAGCGGATCCAAGCTTCCGATGGCAGCAGCAAAGTACGTGGCTAAGTAGACTGGACTTGGGCTAAAGGTGAATTCTGGGTATCTTGCCATCAATCCGCGTTCCATGCGTGCGCCAGAATTAATCAGAGCATCCATGAGAGGTATATTATTAAATATAGTCGCAAACCCCAAGGGAGTGTAGGATGGCGGATAGTAACCATATGAGCGTCTACCTGAGTCTTGTTGATCCTTAATGAAGGCTGGTCCGGGATCGAGGGTGGCGTGTACTGAAATACCCGATTTGATCAACTCGGTAGCAATAAAAGGACCAAATTTTGTTTCTGGGTATGATGCGATAAAGTGAAGGAAGGTTGGAGGATAGATTGTGGCCCTCCCGAATAGAGGTATGTAGATACCCTTATTCTGTTCTACTAAGTCTCTGTTTGTGATCGTGGGTATTCTGCCGCCTCCGAGATCTAAAAAAAAAAAAGGCCCATCGATCGTTAGAATTTCGTTACTTCATCACAGGGTGGTAACTCGTCTGGCAAGGAGAGTGTTCATATACCTTTGGACATTGCAAGAAGATAACAAGCAGGGAAATTTCTTTCCGATAAGGCGGAATCAAACGCTGCAACGATATTCTTGGGATATCCCCGGAGCACCAGTTCATCGTTCACCAATATGCCATACTTGGATAGAAATTCTCGGCCTTGCTTGTTTTCTAGTGGCGAAAGTACAATTCGTTCTGGCACAGCGTTTATAAAGTAGTGCGTCTCATGATTCTCCCTCACCATGGCACGGTAGAAATGAGTGTCTGCCCTGGCATTAGTCTTCAATGTGATTACCGCAGCAAGTTCTGCGAGGTCTGATTTGACAAAATTGGGTAGTTGATCCTGGGGTTGTATATTGGCCAGCTTTGCCAGTTTAAGCCCTCTTTTACAGTCCTCGAAAGCCAGCTTATCAAGACTACCGAAATGGTAGCGTGACAAAGCCCTTGTGAAATAAAGCAAAAGATTTGCTAGGACACCGTCTTGAGGGGAGTATGTTGTTTTTGCGAGAGTTACTCCGGCGACGGCTCCATCACCTGCGTTATTCCTGTCTAGATTCTGGAGCATTGCTTTCACTACCAGAATACGAAAGGAAAATGAAGGACCGTACTCGCAATGGCCCAGCTCGACCAAAGCGTCTGAGTACTTTCCTTCTCTAAAGAAGGAAATTACTCGCTCTCGGTAGTATGTTATCCGATGAGAAAGGATGTCGGCATCGTCAGAAAGGTCATTGTCATCGAAAATATCCAGAAGGTCGACAGAATTATCGATGCTTCGAAATGGATCTCCTTGGGCGCTAGGTGGCGTTCGGTTCAGCTGGTTGCTATTCTCCATTTCCCTCACAACTTCTTCGGGCAGTGGAAGAAGCGCTTCAAGGAATCCCTCTTCGTACTGAGCGCGAGTATATGGGCCAGCCGCTACAGCTGTTGTGTCTATACTCGTGAGGGTGGGAGATACTTGACTGGTAGTATCTAGTCGGATCCCGGACAGCTTATCTCTCAGGTTAGCGATCACTTCAGGGTCAAGGGCACGCTTTCCGTGACCCGCCTTGCATGCTGTGATCAAATGCATTGCGACTTGGAATTGAAAGGAAGTTAGGAATCCAGTATTATCTGTATCCGCTATTCCCCAGATTTCTCCTAGGACCCTTGGGTCCAGGCCCGATTCCTTAAAACGCTTGACTGCATTCTCCCCCGTCAATACGTCGATATCACCACTCCACCGTCGATGGACTTCTACCCACTCTTTAAACCTTGCCTCCGAGATATTCCATTGGTATTTCGAACCTGGCCCTACAGTAAAAACTTCATTTGGTGGTGGTGATGGTAGTACAGGCTGTGGAATTCGTCGAAAAGGGTTAGGAGGGGTTGGATTAGACTGAACGGGGACACCTGAATTTTCTTTTGACTGCGCAGTTGAGATGACATTGGTCTCTATTTCCCGCAACGAAGTGCCCTCCCTATGGGTGCTGATTGGGCTTCTAGGGTCCAATATTGAAGATTCCAATTCTCTACTCGCTACTGGTTGCTGAAGAGTACGTGCGCTCCGTTCGAACCTGTCCGATATTTGAGGACTCAATAGCCCGGGTGGGGATGCACTGTTCTCCGAGATTGTTATTTGGCTGGAGTTATGCTGAAAAGGCAGCTGGTTCTCTAAGTGCGATCTAGCACCCGCTGCATAAAAATGCTCTTGAGAACTGGGTTGATGGTTAAGCGACTGCCTCTGAGCTATTGTCGAATGCTCTTGGGTATACGGAAACCCCCGGGGATTTGAAGTTGTGCTCTCCGTGACGGATAAGGTGCCGAAAATGTCATCAATATCGGAGTTCTCAGGGAGTGGTGTACTAGATATGGGCCCGGAGCGGCGTTGACTATTCTCATGTCTAGCCACATATCTATAGAAATCTTCGGGGTCCACATTCTCAGGCATGCTGTAGAAATTTGTGTTGCTTTTGTTGGATCTTGTTTGTGATGCGGAGAGGTGGACTTCACCCTGGCCAACAGGTCTATTGGTTTAAATTTAAATGTTGGAGTTCGAAAGCCTTGAGGAGGCCGTAGTGCGCATTTGTGACACTGTATCTCAAGTATTGTGGTACCGTCGAAGCTTTGGTCCTTTTAATGGGTTAGGCGATTGCAAGTGACATGGGAATCGAAAGTAGCTAGACAGTGCCTAGCTGTGGTTATGAAGGCCGTTAATTATCTGGCTAGAGCTGCTAGCCTCGGGCCTGGACTTAGAAATTTGAACAGGGCTGAGAATTTAAGGATGAATGTGTTTATCTTGATGCATAACTTAGACGAGCCCCATACTAATTTCTGAATTTCCGTTTAATTTGAAACGTTCGAAAACTCGTTTGTACAAGTATTTTTGTAAGACTCAACCCGATAGCAAGAAGCGCGTATATGAGCTTGTGGGAATTATGTAATATTAACTAGAAATTATGTGACATAGACTCCGTCATTAAAGTGAAAATGCAGGGACGCCAAAAGTGGAAGCATCAGCAGCTTCCAACTGGTATCGGGTCCAAAATTAAAACGATGACGCTCTTCAGCAATAAGGTATTTGTGAAGTTGGGTATCACTTCGATAGTGTGCGCGAACGAATCTCTTATTAGTTGGTAAGGGCCCAAACGTGGAGGTATCCTGCTCCACCGCAGGTCTGGAAACCAGAGTCGTCACCGGCGCAAGGAGTCTTGCAGTCGGCGTCGGTGGCCAGGGTTGCTGGTGGGTTGATGAATCCGTCATTGCAGTAGCAGCGGCTAATAAGTTCGTTAGTTTTAATCTAGAGGCAGATAAATATTGGTTGAATAGTAACTTACTTTCCGTCTCTAAGGGCTGCGAAGGTGAAGTCCTGGCCGAAGCAAGTGGTCTGGCAGAGTTCGATGGTCATCTTGGGGTTTGTGTAATATGCCTCAGTAAGAATAGACGCGCTGCTATTGTCGTCGTAGCAACCAAGGTCCTTGGGGCTAATAGCATTGACGTAAATCTCAAAGGCCTCGTCACCACCACAGGGCAGACTGTCGTCGCCGGAGCAGGGTGTGCTGCACCCTTCGTCGTCGAGGGTCGCAGCCCAAGATTCCTCGAAGATCTCACCGCAAGCGCAAGATCTATGCAAACATTAGCATACAATTGTACAACAAAATAATTTCTACGATGCTGCGGCTGGAGAACTTACGTTCCGTTAATGAGACCAGCCAAAGGATAACCATTTGTGAAGCAGTTTTGCTTGCAAAGCGTTGGGGTCATGTCTTCGGAAGTTAAAGGCTGCTGGCTGAGCATATGCTTTGGATAATTTGCAGGGTTCTCCTTGTAGCAACCGGCGAATCTTGGTCCAGATGGGGGAGATGTAGGCTCGCTAGAGCACGACGTTTCAACCTGCGTAACTGTTGAAACGTTGGTTACCGTCGAGACCTTAGTTGTCGACACCACCTTCGTCACGGTCTTCGTTGACACTGGTTTAGTGATGGTCTTGGTGACAG